GCCAGTCGGTGATTGTCTTGATATTTTCGGGATCAGGCCGTATGCTGTGTTTACCCACGATGCACCCAAAAAGTGGTATTTCGCTAGCCGCGAATATACACTTCTTAAGGTTGGCATACAACATATGCTTGCGCATAAGTTGAAGAACCTGACGAAACGTGTGTTCTATGAACTTCCACGTCCGTCTTTCCGTCCATGGCCCGACTATCGACGAACACATCGTCGAAGTAACTCGGTGCGAAGTCCCGCACCGCTCTCAACAAATTTGTACACATCTGTAGAATGTTGCAGGGGTGTTACTCAGACCCTGTGGCATCACTAGCAACTCCCACAGAATACCGCTGGGATGCTCACTGCTGTGAACGGGACGTCCCGTTCACGCATCAGGATCTGATAGAATCCATCCATCAGATCCATGGACAAGAAGATGGCACTCTTTGACATACCATCTATGATTATGTCCTTCCTCGGTATCGGCGTCTGAGCCGGTACCGTTGCAGCATTCAATTTGTTGAGTATGTGCACTATCCGCCATCCTCCTGTGGCCTTTCGAACACAGAAGGTCGGAGAGCTGTGAAGGGAAGTTGGTTCCCTCACATGAACTGCAGCAAAGCAATCGGCAAAGAACTTGTCGATTGCCTAGTACTTGTTCACGAGGCAGTGGCCACTGCTTCATGACATAGTGCTTCGAGCCCGTGTTGAGCTCGATCTCGTGTCGAGTGTCTTTTCCTTAGGCAACGTCGCAAGGTACGGATTCAAGGAACACATCCCTGAATTCGATCAAATCCTTATACAAAGGATTTTCCTGAAGTGACTCCCAGGATTGAAACGTGTATCTATCAATCCGAGTCTTCTCATCGAGGACACTTTCGTCCATCAATGAGCTGCTGAGAACCCGTTCGTTCTCAGCAAATACTGTTGCCGACCGTATATCGGTCACATACTCATCCTCTGTGACGAGTATGCAGATCTGCTTGACTTTGCCACTACGCAGATCACGCAAGAACCGTTTCGGTTCTAGCGTTGGCAACTGAGTTATCTCCGAATTCAAATTCGGAGGCACAATCAGATCAAGCGTATAAGCGCCTACGCTTGATCCGTCATTAACCAAGACGTTCAACGTCTCGTTTTCTTCCTGGGAACTTGCTTCCACAGGTTGCTGAGGGCCTGATCCCTCAGCAAGCAGACTCTTGAGGAATTCCTTCCTCAAGTACGTGGGGACTAATTCCCTCGACGTCTTCCGACTGTGGCTGTGCAACCACAGTCAGGCACCGATCCTCTACGGTCGACTCTCCAGTCGACCTAGGATTTTCATGTTGCCCCTTGGGGGCAACAGGTTTCTTCTGTCTAAGATTCTGCCCGCTAGACATGCATCCATGTCCCGGTCCACTCGACTTATTCGAGTGGTGGACCTTCGGCGCAGCCTGTACATCTGTACAGCCGTCAGGAGCTTGCTCCACAGTGTAGTGATCAACTACGCTGTGATCTTGTGCAGTCGTGGTAACGGCCGTACCGCAAGTGAGGCCATCACACTCACTCGCACTACATCCACACGCTTGTGGACGCTCCATGACGTTCATCAGGTAGGGATATCTGATGAACAAGCGTCAGGCATCTTCACGGATCGATGTTGCCAGATCACCCTTGGCTCGAACCTTCTGAGCCAAGGTAATCCCAGGATGACATCAAATTTGTCATCCAGATCAAGTACGATGAAGTCATCATCGTACTGTTCGCCCTCTAACGTGTAGTGGATTCCTACTACACGTTTCTCAACGGTTATCGATGCGCCTGTTGCAAGGCGCACCGTCATCCTTGTGAGGGGAATGTCGCGCTCAACGAACTTGAGACCTACGACCCTCTATTGACTGGCGTCGAACAAAGTTGTTCGATGCCCCACAGTCTACTAGGGCACGAAGCGACAAATCGTTTGTCGCTTCCAACTTCAAGGTGATGAGCGAAACGTCATCACCAGGTGCAGAGACACACAATGATTGTGTATCTGGAGCAACTTTTGTCAAGAGATTTGCAAATTCTCTTGAGGTTGCTGGACAAGTAGGGCGCTCCGCCTCTACTGACCCCGACCATTTTATGATGGTCCGCTTTGCTGTTGCGGTTTTGCAACAGCGTTGGACCTACGCCCATTTTCCTTCTTGGCAAATACGCTTTCATTTAGCTCAGTACTGTTTGGTACTAGGAGTGGGGCACTACACTCGTAGGCGTAGTGTCCTAGCTTCTGACAACGATTGCAATTCTGCAATTGCTCGTTGTTTGAAGAGCGAGGTCTCTCGCTCTCAACATAGCAGAGGTCCATTGGTTCTGGGCCTCCGATCTCTTGTCGTCTTGGTGGACGATAAGAGTTTGAGCTAGCATGAGCCTGTCTCATGCTAAAGTCTTCCTGTTCCACGGCTGATATCGCATCTTCAAGCGTATTCAACTCTAAGCGTATCAGGTGATTCCTGACGGGTCCATCTGCGAGCCCTTGTATAAACACAGTGATCAACTTGTGTTCATGTACAGGGTTAGCAGTTATACTACTCTCGAGGAGTCGTATATGCTGAGCATAAGCGTGCACATCACGCTTACTCTGTTTGAGGTTCAGGAGCTCAGATCGAGCCCTGAACTCAGCCCGAGGCGGTTCAAATGTTTGTTTGAGCCGGGTCTAAAAGTCTTCTAGCAAACCGAAAGCATAGGGTTCGCTCATCTCGAGCCCTAAGGCCCAAGTCTTGGCACGTTCTGCCAAGTGGGCTTGAGCAAGTGTAAGTTTCATTTGCTCATCCTCGATACGACGTGCCCGTATGGCTATGTCTAACTCGACGAAACATAGTAACAGGGAGCCTTCCTCGACTCCTCTGTTCTTGGAGATGTCGACCTTTAAAATTTCGGGACGACGCGTGTGTGTCGTCCCGCCCACAGCAGCATTGAATTGCTGCTGTCTCAACAGCTCTGTTTGTTGAGCACCCAGTTCTCTCAACTGCTTGGCCTGTTGAGAGCCTTGCTGATGAAGCAATGATACTTTATCTTGTTCGGATACAAGTTCGTTTTGAATGAACATGGCTATAGCGGCATGTTGTTGGTCTCTGCCAAGGGACTTCAACATGGCGCTTACGGCGGTTTCGCCAACGGTAGAATTCATTCGTTCTACCGCCCTGCATTCGATGTCACCTAAATTGTTAAATCCTTCACGCGTGGTGTGATAGCTCTCCTCCTCATCCATCATGTTCATGTCGGATGAAGTGGTTGTGGTCGCTGGACGGACTAGTAAGTGCCACCAGGTGTAACGGGGCACACCATGTGTCACTTCGACACAAGGTTATGTGCACCCGACGTCACGTACACGTGGCGAAGAAGTACAGCGAAGTAGGCAGAACTCGAAAGCTCTGTGCAAGAAAAAGGTAGAAATGTATTAAATACGGTTAAGCTTCTTACTAAATCTTCTTTCGTCTCAATGTAACTATATTAAACTACCATCTCCTATGTGGGTCTCTTGCTCACCACCCGTTGCGCGAATCCAGCAGCGATTGGTGGTTAATTTGGTTGATGTAGATGTTACATCAACCAAGAAGTGGAGCAGATTACCCTTGGTGTAACGGGCACACCCTTGCGTGGACTTAACGCAAGGGTATCGGTGCCCCGACAGACGTACACAAGGCAAGCGAGGAAGCGTAGATAAGGGAAAAGCAGAACTGTTGTATTAATATAATTAAGTCTTTTAACCACTGTCTCTCTGTTTGACTTAACTTAATTATGCTAATATAACTGAGTGTATGGTGACGTCTCGTCACCACTCATTGCGCGCGTCTTGCGGCGATTGGTGGGTTGATATCATCAAGATATTAACCAATGAACAGACTCTTTGGTCGACCCTTCAATATCACCACTTTGGTGATATTGTTCAAAGAATATATAACTTCATATTCTTTATTGTCATTGTTTCTATAAAATGACAATTCCAAGTGTAACGGGCTGCCCCGTTGCATTTGGGGGTAATATTCGGACAACATCACCTCTTCTCGAGTGACGTTGATTGAATATTATCAAAATAGATAATACTCATAAATTGATACTTTCTATCAATTTATATGTAACGGGCTCACCCCGTTACACGTAAGGCGCGGTATTTCATTCATCTACCCGACGTCTGCCTTGTTCGACCCTCAAATCATCGAGCTACTCGTCAGTTACACGATGCGTGTGGTTTATCCTTCCGAATTGATCTGTCGAATGGGCTAACGTGTTACTTGACTTGGCACTTCTGCGATAGAGCCTAGAATTTGACATACTTCCACATGAAGAGCAAGTACTTCGACTTGCTGAGCCACATCAAGCCATATCAATGTCAGACGAAATATCTCGTCTTACGGCGCGACATCGCACGGGACATAACTTGAAGCCACAGCAAGCTGTAAAGATGTCCACGTCGGAGGAAGCTAAAGCTGTTACTAACGTAGACAACGCTACCGCCTTAGACTCTAGTACGGCCATGACAAGTCGCACCGAAGTAGGGATCGTATCATGATTGCCCCAGTCGCAGCACTTGCCCGCGGATAAGTCCAAGTCCCCGTACCGGACGACCTTGCAGCCTAAACATCGTTAGCCCTACAACGCGGTAGTAAATGATACGGGTTAAGACCGAATCAACAATCGACCGACTGGCGTGACTGAGCTAGTGGCATTTCGATTGTCCAGACGTTGCGACGCAGCCTACACATGAATCGACCAAGAGATAGGTAAGGTCCACGCGGATCAGTATTCTAGTTGCCTACATGCTGAAACTAAACTTATTCGCGTGGACCTTGCTATTTTCTTCCTCGGCTTCATTCACGTGACACGGACAAGTCGAGCGTACGTCATCATTGGCTCATTCATACAGCAGCATAGTCGCCGCGAGTCGTGTACGCTTTTCTTCCCTTTCCTTCCGACCTGACACGCATGCACCGACCCTTCTTCGACTCGATTAGTTTTGCGTCAGAAGCTAGCCTATGCAGACGGTCACTAGCCTATGCAGACATCAAATACTCTGCCGCTGCGTTGATGACAACAGCGAGATCATTCACATGGGCTTGAATGGCAGCGTTGTCATCGTCAAAGACGATGCTGTCCGAGATGCCAGGAAATGCAGCGCCCTTGTAGCCTTCGTAGAAGCCGGGCCCAAAAATCATGTGCTTGAACCACGGCCGGTGAGGTAGCCCGGTGCCAGAAATCAAGTAGCGCTCAAGGCTCGCAAGTTTTTGGTTCAGAACGCGACGTTCTATCTCCGACTTGTTGCTCGCTTTCATGATTGTGGTCGACTGCGTGACTTCAGCCACGTGCGCCTGGAACGCATCGGCATCGCTGCTAAATCTTTCAATCGCTCTGTGTAGTACCGAGTAGTCTACGTTACGTCCCATGGCTGCTGTGGCGTTCTCGTATTGAGTCAAATCTTCCTGCATCACCAGCCCGTAAGTAGAGTAATCAAACGGGATGATAGCGTTGTCCACCAAGCGCAAAGTGATGAGGCCCCACCATTTTGCCATCGTAGTATGCGTCGCATAGTGTGGATCCCCTACACGTTCCACGTACGCAATGCTGTCCATAGTGCTGTGATATGTGCCGTACATCGCACTGCCAAAGTTGTAACCCAAATTGGCCGAGATGATGCCAAGATGTTGATAAAAGGCTGTAAAATCGGTGCCTGTGCCTAGGAACTGGATCAGGTGATCTGGAGCCAACGAGCCGTCATCAGCGCCAGCGTCATGACGAGACCGTCGCGAAATAGTCTGGCTCACCCACTGTTCGTACAAGTTTTCCGTGACATCGGTGCCGTAAAACGAGTTGCCTGGAATAAGCCGGGCCGTGTCCAGCAGAAATTTCGCAACAGAGGGTGTACCTCCCGAGCTGACAAATGGACCTACAACGTTGTCGACGTTGACATACGCTACAGCTTGCTTTCTCAGGACCTCTGCATGGTCCTCAGCAAACTCTGTGCTGCCAAGCAAACCCAACTCCTCGCCATCCCATGAAGCGATAACAAGAGTACGGCGTGGCTTCCAGCCTTTCTCGAGCAAATCGCCTAATCCGCGAGCAATTTCCAGCATGACTGCCGACGCGCTGGATGGGTCCACGGCTCCGCATACCCAAGCATCGCGGTGGTTCCCGATCAAAACCATCTGGTCGGGCTCTTCGGTGCCTTCAATGGTACCAATGACGTCCCAGATAGGTCCAATACTGTTGTCCATGATCACATCCAGGTTTACAACGGTACCTTCATCGTCGCCTACAAAGTAGCCACCATTAGCAAGCTGCAGGGCGCCTTGCCAAGATTCGGGGGCCTGCATGCCACCTAATGACTCGAGAATGTAGCGAGCCTGACCGTACGAAAGAGGAAGTCCTGGAATATGCGAAATCGTCTTGCTTTCATCCTTGCTCAAGTACGGCTCGCCTGGCAGCGACGGAAATCCGGGAGTAAGTGGGTCGCCGCTGTAAATGGAATTGTATTGCACCGATCCGCGCTGAAACGACCCCTCTGGTCGCCACGGGCCTTCTGGGTACACTGGTCCCTGCGCGTAGCCGTCATCCAGTGGATCTGAGTAGATCAGCACACCAGCCATACCATGTTGCTCGGCCAACATGACTTTTAGTCCACGAAAGTTGCCTCCATAACGAATAAGAGCGATCTTGCCTTTTAGCGTCACACTGTGATCCTTCAGCCACTGGAAATCCACCGGCCTCGCATAATTCACGTACACGACAGATGCTGTGATATTACCGGAAGCCGAGTACCCAAGGTACGGCGGCAATGCCCCTGCATCGCTCGTGCACGAATCGCCCGGCACAGCCGCTTCAGTCAGATTCAACGTCCTCGCCGCCGTCACCGGCGACACAATGCTCACGTGCCGACGAAGAGGCAGCGACAGCAGCGGGTAGTACGTGACTACCTCTGATTTGATCCCAAACGACGCAAACTGCTCAGCAGTAAACAGCGCCGTCTGGTAGTCCTGCTCACTACCCGCTGGATGGGGCACACTGGCGTACGCCCTGTGATACGTTCGAATCTGTTTCGTGTCCACATTGTCCAAAAAAGAGCTCTCGCGCGTAGAGAGACCGACAGTTCTGTTGCTGTGGCGGTCGGTTTCGTACTGGAATCGACGCCGACGCGTCGTCAGGTCGTCGCTGTCATTGACAACAGCGTCGTCCGCTGTGTTTCCAGTCGCTCGATGCGGCGTCAACAAGTCCGAGAGCCTCTGTACGGCCTCTTCATTGACTATTCGCTGGTCTTGCGACGCTCCCGAGCAGCGCAAAGGTCGCGAGCACGACCAGCACGACCCCAACGCTCAGTCTACGCAGCAGGCGCGAGCCTTCACTGCCGTCGCGCGTGACGCGGCCATAGAAAGTTCCGTATGTGTTGTCCGGGCTGTTGTCCAGTACCTCCTGATGGCGGCGGTCGCTGTCTGCTACGGACGCGCGCGTCATTGGGTGGGGAAGTAGGGCGCGATGCACCGGATCTTTTAAGTGGCGCGGGAGCACAAATCTGCACAAAAGAGCATACAAATAGCGTAAACAGACACGATGAGACTACAAAGTATGATGCACGATCCGAATAAAAACGAAGATGATGAAATATCGACACGAAGGGATACTATGTATCGATAAGTAGGGAATGCACAGCTTGTGTGAATAGGTAACAGCGTGTGTAGGACGAGAGTTTACGCACGAGTGTTTTACGATTAAACGCATGTTCGAAACTGCGATAGTAGCAGAGAAAATCGCTGTTGCTGGTGTTCGTACAAACGTAGGAGTTAGCGGTCGTCTCGTCTCCATCCGATTGCTGTATCCGTTCACCACTTGACTTTCTTACCATAATTGGTACCATTGCCAAGCAAGAAGTTGCCTCGTGATGTAGACCTTCTATAAAGCAATCACCACTGTTCCATCTTGACGCATAGACACCGCCGATGTCAGAAATGTGACAAAGTTACCTGTCAGTACATTGTGCTACACGTTTGACGTGGATCGACACACACTAAGACTGAGCGTATGCATTGCATTTCCCTTTGCAATTTTGAGCACTACATACACCTTTAAGGCTTACCGCCGGTATATCCAGATCAACACGACCATCAATATTAGTGGATTCCGGCAGGCATTTGATGGCGTAATTCCTGACAACAGTACTTGAGTACTGAAAGCACCTTGTGCGACAGGTAAATCCACTTATCCACACGCGACAGAAAGACAACATTGTCGAGCTCTGCACGATGCGTGAATGCACAGCTATAAAGTTGAAATGCTGCCAGAAGAATAGCAAAGATTTTCACTCACTTGATGACAAATTAATTTAAAGAGAAGATTTATTGGTACACCCCCACCTTTCGATACGTACACCCCCTCCCCCCCCTGAAATAGAGGCTTCTCTTTCAGGACCGTATCCTCTCTAGCTGCGTACTGCACACTTATACATACAAAATGCCATATAAATATTAGTTGCTTTGTACACACCCCTCCGTAATACAGGCCTCTTTTGTGTCAGCACACAGCCTTGCGTATGACTTCCGCTCTCGTTATCCGGTACACTCCCCTATAAGTATCCCTTATACTACCATTTCCCCTATTTTAAACAGCGTCCAGAACAACGTCAACAACGTCTGAGCTTTTGCCCGTTCGATCAGCTCAAACTGTCGATGAACCGGTTTTCTCGCCTTGCTCCACCCGTTCGCATCACTGCACATCGTGACGATACAGCGTCGTCTTTTCCAGTTGAGAAAAAGAGCCACTTTCTCAGCAAGTGCTCGAACGACTTCAACATGGACAGTCAGTCGCCCGTCCCACAGCGTAACACCAAGTCAACCACTTTGGCATTGCCCGTTTTACCCAGTCCACAGACTATCTATCTACCAAGCAAACGTGTCTCGCCACGATGTCGGGAAGTGTCAAGGTGTATGTGGCGTGCACCTCCGTGCTGTATCTGAAATTCGCAGCGGCTACGATGATGCAGGGCTCGAAAAAGTTTGCCACTGGCGGACGTCCGCCCGAAGACTCGAAGTATTCGTCCGCTAAACGCCAACAAACGTTTGGTCTGGATACGACCAGCGATACTAAAACTCGTGAAACTGCTCAGCGCTGGGGAAGTATCGTGATGAACGATCTTGAGTCGATTCCGTTTGGCCTTTTGGTGTTCGGCGCGGGCGTCATGGCTGGAGCCGACTATAACGTTCACTATAGTGCGATGATTGCGTTCACGGCGGCCCGTTGTCTGCACACGTATGCCTATGCGAACTCGAAGCAGCCTCTGCGCTCGTTGTGCCACGGCGTGGGAATGATAGCTACGCTGGTGGGTCTGGGCAATGCTGTTAGCGCCATTGTTTAGGCTTCGTGGTAAGACTGCGCGAGTCGGTGATTGCATGTGCTCGGGGACGACCGATTGAATACAACAACGGGCTCGTTCTTTTGACCTTGATAGGGCTATTGGATGTTCAGCTTTTGTACCGAACCAGACTGTCATCCATGTCACATGTCTTGGTGCATGAGTCATATGGATACGCTGCACTTGTCTGATTACGAGCACTTTCCATTGATGTAACACGAACGACTGCAGAGAGGAGCTTGAAGTCGCTCGGCGTTCGTCGTCGAACGTGAGTTCTCCTGTACGTTGACGTTCGTTGATCGCAATCATCCTCTTGGTGGAGTCTTCAGGAAGTTGGTAGGCTGCATTATATACGTACAGTAGCGAGCTGCCTCTGTGTGTTGACGTATCTAGAAAACATACAGCTGCCAAGACAATTACGAGTGATGTCAGTCATGCATCTAACAAATGGAATGCTGTCAGTCCGTAGTGCCACAGCATCTCCTTGTTCAACATCCGACGTCAGCGTTGACGTGGTACCAGTACATCATCAGCGTAGTCTCCTTTGCATTCGCACGCACTGCACTTACGCTGATCTCTGGTGCATCAATTACAGTGCCCACATCATCGTATCGCAAATAACACCGCCACTTTTTACTCACAAACATACGTCATGGGAAATCATCATGCCAAATGGCCAGTGTTTGCTGGCATGCAATCGTCGCGTACCTCGTTATCAACTTACAGCCAAATACGTGGTATCTTTCTACTCGACGCAAGTCACGGCTGCTCCGTTCGCGCTCATTTAGCTCTCGTACATGGGCTTCAACGGCATGTTACCTGTAGTTTGCAGCCAGTTGTCCTTCGGGTACTCCACGTTGTGAGTTTCCACCACGTGGATTGAATACGCGTGGCGAGAGTCAAGCGACCGGTTGGCGTTGCTGTAGTGCACAAACGCGTTATGCAGCAGCACCAGGTCTCCCTTCTTCATGAGCAATGGCTGGCTATTGCTCACATCGAAAGGCTCTACCGTCTCGGGCACATTTTCCAGCAGTTGCCCTCCATTCGCCTCTTGTTGTTCTTTCGTAGTGCGTCGCAGTTTCTGCCGCACGGGCACAGTCAAGTGCGATCCCGGCACGCCATGTAGACACCCGTTCTCCTGTGTACAGTCTTCTAGAGCCCACCAGAACCCCACAACGGACTGTGGGTTTGTGTACAGGAAGCTGCCGTCCTGATGGGGCTTGACCTCTCCGCCAATCTTTGGCTGCTTGAAAATGTACATGGACTGTACAACTGCAGGGCGCACGTACTGGAGGGACTTGAGAATGGAGTTTACATCGGGCGCGTAGCTCACTGTCTCAAACACGGGGTCGAGATTGTGGAGATTGTGGCCAATCTTGTTGATTGCCCTGTTTAGAGGCACTGTTAGTGTCGCTTTCTCGTCGTCTTGGAACGCGAATTCCTCAAAGAAACAGCGAATTGTGTCGCCCGAGTCGAGGAAATACGTGTCATTCATGCGGCGCGTCTGTTCGTTTGTCGTAAAGACGGAGCGAGAGCTGAGTTGATCGCACTGTGCGACGAGTTCACGCGCTCGGGCTCGCAACGTATCGCACGTCGAAGCAGATAGAGCGTGAGGGATCACGAGGAACCCGTCGCGGTGGAACGCTGCGAGTTGCTCTGGCGATAGACCTGACATTATTAATATTGGCAAAGGGTCGTTGGTCGATCATGGAATTCAACTGTCACGTAAGACTTCACGTCAAAGTCGTTACGTACAAATCGGGACGAGACCGAGAAAAGAGCGTACATTTGCACGAAGTAGTAAATACTGTGTAATAACAACAACGCGTCTAACGCTATCAGGTACTGGATGGAACGATTGGGACGAAGGCCAAGGGATCCGAACCTGTCCTACGGCGTACTTTAGCTGTACCGATTCATGAACCGTGCAAACCTGTCAAAGTGGATCGATCGGTACAACGTATAAGCTGTCGTTTCATAAGTACGCATAGCGCATCAAGCCCCTGGTAGCAGCACTGACCTCATAGACGGCGCGGAGCAGCAGTTGCCGCAAAATCAGTACTTGTTTAGCTGCACAAGCCACGTCGAAGCGACGCAACGTCCTTGTAGCAATTGAGGGTGCAGCAGGTCAATTCGCATTTGCTGTACCTCTTACTAGCTCTCAGTGCTGTAGCGCGCAGAAGTGGTGGCCGCTGGATCGATGCAAGTGCTCGCACAGTTCTCAGACGAGCACACTGAGGGACTAAACGTGTAGAAAACTAATTTCTTGCTGGCTTTACAGAAGTCTTAGCGCTGCTGGAGGACACGTAGGCAGCAGACTGGTGTACCGGACGCCGATAATGTGCCAAGAGAGGAAGTCCATGTAGTGCTGCCTCACATGATGGCGACGAGAGGCTGGCCGCAGAGGAGGATGCACCATCTTATTGACCAACGTGTCGTTCAGATCAATCACTGCAAGCTGTCGGCAACGGTGGTGCAAAGAACCGCAAACGATACAGAGGGACGCAGATATAAAACGGCAGGCGTGTCCGGGATACCTTTGTGGTGGACTTGCAGCAACAAGCGCTAGAAGCGTTTGTATTGAAAAACATACGTTGAGACGCTTCCTCCGTCACATCACGTAGCAAAGCAAAACGATACGTTTCGTGATCGTGTTAGCTTGCTGAAGCATGCTACGTTGACATACATCTAGACGTGCTTTAGCCAAACACAGCGTGCTGAAATAAACGTGGGTCCGTCTGAAGACAAAGCTCGGAGCTGCGACGACGCATTCAAGTCGGCGGCGCAAAAGTGATGGCGTGTACGTGTGTGTTAGGTCATTCTCGATGTCGTTTCCGAAGATGCAAATGGTGACAGGTTTTCGTCGACAGATAGTTCGGCCTGCGCTGATCGATGTAGTGCTGCGTACTGATGCGCGCGAATGGAGCGCAACGCAACATACATCATGCAGTATCACAACACTTCTAAAAAGTATCGAAATCGGATTATTTCTTGAGCATAAACTGTCAAGCATTTGTTTGCTGATGTAAACTGACTGCTTTTGGCTGACTTGTCGACCGAAGCGTTTGATGAAGGGACTGCCTCAAGGCAAAAGAGGTTCGAGTAAATGTAACTGTCTCCAGAAACTACCGTGATGTGATCGGCGGCGATAAAGCCAGGTGTAGTTGTAGGGCTACGAGTTACGCTACGACGGATGATCGCTCAAGGCACATGAGTCTTGTTTCTCATCTCTAGGTAGCAATACAGACGAACACAAAGTGTCACTGCGACTGCCTACCGTTTTTGATGTTCGTGCAAAGCACCTAAGTGTGATGGCCAACGACCATTATATACTAGGTACAATCGAAGGACGCACCGGTAACGATGGAAAATTTGCTCCTTTTGCTACGACGGTCTCTGTACACGAGGCGCATTCGATATCGCTTGCGGCCATTAGCATTTTACGTGAGTGCGAGAGAAACGGGTGATGAACGTTTCGCGACAACGTGGAGTCACGTATGCTGCGTTCTTTCCCCAAACTATCGATCCCGATCGTGTTCGACTTCAGTGTATCTTCACAACTGATACAAAGTCCTTCGTCGTGTCAGTTTAATAGGCTACTGAGGTCCATCTTCGTATGGACAGGTCGCTGTGCCGAGCGTGAAGTCAACAGGACAAGGAGTGGCGCACGGATTGGTTCATTTAACGGGGTATGCAGTTGCATGCCATCGACATTAAAAATGTCAACGCAACTTCTTTCCTAGCGGATCATATTCTTGACCAGGACGTTGGAGGGTATGATTCAGTAGCTTCTGCTAATTTGGTAGAAGTAGGCCATTATATATAGCAACAAAACGTGTGATGTCAACTAGAGACGCTCAATCGGTTGTAGCAGACAGTTCCAGCTCATTTTGCACCAAGATGTAGTGAAGACAGGGTTAGACATCTTAACATTCACGTTGTCAGCTGTAAAAATACAGCTCATTTTTCTGCAGACGACTCATGCGCCCGTTACTTGTCTAGCTTCTTCTGCACCTACATGTACGCAAGGCTCCGAGTCACCTGTCTACACTGTTGTACGTGCAGGTTAGCCGATACTTTTGCAGCATAAACGCGGTGCTCGTTTCAGTGTAGATTGATAGTACGTTCTCAGTATGAGCGCATGCACTCTATCACACTGGCGACAGCGTTGATAGGCGATATGAAAACTCACGTTCGTTGTTGTGCAGAAGTAGCGTAAGTCAACACGACAGTAAGGTTTGTGTACATGATATCCTGAGGTGTGAATAACAAAATAAAGTCACCTGTTCTACTCGGTTGTTAACCTACCTAAACTGTATGGGCCTCAAACGCACTAGCAGCATTCTACAAGATTGACGCTCGTCACGGATCGGTACGAGTGTTAGCTGATACATACTCTACCAGCCAATGCGTAGCGTGTTGCCAACGGCCGCCGAGTAGGACTTCCAAAGGCAACATTCCCTCGATATTCCCCTCATAGGTAATATTACCCTATATAACTAGCTAAGATTATATCCACAGACGCATTCAAAATCAATGTCGATGTCATGTAAGTGGGTGACCCCGTTATATGTTCGCGTTTCGGCTGCGTCGAGAATACCGATGTGTGGATTGTCGTATTCAGGGACCTCGTCGAGTAATGTCCACTATTCCGGTGTCGTCGTGCGACGTTTAACGTGCGTTGTTGTCAGTCGACATTTGGCGAATTCCGGCGCACGAGTTTAGCCGACCGCAATGTCGACACATTTCGTTCCTGGATAGGAATTGCGACCTCGTTGACCTGCTCACGTGTGAGGGAATTGCAAAGAGCTGACACCATTGCCGCACGCTTCTGTGTCCACGAATAACTCCGTAGTTAATCGATGAGATATACAATGACGAGTACGTTTTGCCAACGTTGTCGCCAACACCTCGATGCTAGACGATGACGTGGAGGAGAAGAAAGTGCTGCTTTGCTCGCTTGATTCTTGGGGTTCAGTCAACGTGCTAAATGCTGAGCTGGCCGGCTGTCCTAGCAAGTCCATCGTTAAAGTTATTGAATAAACAATTTTTTAGCAAGTCCATCGTCATATCGTACGGCTTCTTCCGTGGTCATCGAGCTGCCATCTCCGTAGCTCTTGACCGGCTATATGTGCTATCACGTGTGCTTCGTCTATGATACTGTTACGGATGACCGTCGAACACAGACCGGATCTCGCCCTCAGACACAGCTTCATCTACGAACACTAGGCAGTTTGTATGTTCGACTGAGCTCTACAAACACTGGCTACGTGAAGCGCGACTAATGCCACTTACCAGAACAGACCGTCTCTGCCCGTGAGACGAGCGGAGAACAAGCAATGCCACACACAGCGCCGCGATGCGTGTGAGCTCTTCTGCATAAAGCGATAAGCGCAGGCAGCAATGAACTCCGAGAGCAGTGGTCTCTAGGGTTTAGCATCCTCTGGTTCACGCGCAACTACTAGTGCTCTCACTGTACGCTCTCGAGCCTTGCGGCAGGTCTTCGAGCGTGGGTCCACACGACGCAATCGCCGTCGTCCTATCACGCATGTCAGCACCGTGTTGGCAGGTGCGTCTCTTGTTATCGTAAACGTTTGCCGTCTGAGAGAAGCTGCACAGCCGACTGTGGCTGCTTCCTCGCTTGTAAGCCGAACAAATCGTTGAGCCTGCACCAACTATTGTCACAAGCGGGTTGAGAGAAGGGGGTAGAGAGGATGGTCGGTGTCGTCCTGGTTGCGCCACGTGGCAAGTCGACCAGGTGATGGGTAGCAAAGGAGTTTATGTGCAGATCACGCGCTGTTGCCTTAGTGATCAGAAGCTGATACTGACTGCTAGTACAGAGATCCTCCGATGCTGCGCGGCATTATCTTGGAGCCGAGCATCTCGATCAGGATTCGTCGTACACTCCAAATCAGCACATTCGTGGAGCGACAAGCCCCACGTGGTACTTCAAGATGGACGCTCGGAGGATAGCAAAAGCAGTGCCAATCATGGAGCTTGTCGTCTGCAGCCAGCAGCATGAGCGAGCAAAGGTGAGAACGCTGTAGTGCGGTAGAGAGGCCCAGACGCGAAGCGCTGCGCAGGTATCTTACAATCCGCAAACGAAGTCAATGGACAGGCTGATCTTCGTCGCCTTCCTCAACGATAGTGGAGCAACTTGTTGCGTCGAAACAACCTGTCACGACAAAAGCTCAAGTGCTTCCACGATCGACAGTTCCAGCTGAAGAGTCAATGCTCAAGCAGTGTTCGTGTTCAGCAAAGGGGAACACAGCACACGTGTAGCGCTTGACCTTTCGGAACACGTGTGCACTGGGCTAACCATGTACGAGCGTGTGCGCAAGTGTGCACACGAACGTGAGCCTGACTTTACCTGTACGACAAGTGTGGATGCGATACGGCAAGAATAGTCTCGGCAAAAGCAGGCAACGGCATGTCGACACCCATGTGAAGGAACGTCACCTCTTCAGCTGACGTTATGCGTCATGTTCGTCCCTCCCGTGCTCGTACATTGGACCCCACCCGTACACTTGTGCGAAGCGTAAGTGGTCAGAGCCAGGAGGACCCGCACGAACGGCGACAGACGATCGTCGCACTCGTGAGCGGTCGCCTTACCCACCTCCTTCTTCGATGCTAAGTACAGATTGTCAAGCCGCTTGTGCGCCTGGAGCTGCTGTTCGTGGTCGTCTGTGCGCTCAAGCCGTATTGACAAAGGAAATTAGACCCACGTCGACCGATAGACTGATCATTATTGTGAGAGGGTCTCGCCCGGCAATGCACTTGCAGCGTTCACGACGATGGCATGACTCGTTTACCCTCTGAGTGGGGGACCACGAGCCACGTGTGAATCAAGTCGGCTATGGCCACAGCGTTTTGCTGCCTACAGCACCAGCTCACACGACGTGACGAGCGGATCATGTTCAACAAGACCGACACTGATCGTTTCATATTGCCACCCGCTGCACGCGCAGATGTCTGTCTGTCCGTCTATCTGTCTGTCTATCCGGTAGAAAGCAGGAGAATTAACTAATGCGCCCAGTGCGGACATCTGCTCGTGTTGCAGGGCGCCCTGGTGCATGCAGCACAGCATCTGCCTTGACTCGAGTAGTACACTCGTGACTCATGCAGCACCGGTAGATCCGCCGTTCTTCAAGTTAGGTCGACCCCTTCTTCACCTGCAGAGCCCAAACACTCCACCCGAGCGCTGTCGCTTCGTCATTTGCCATCCAACGACTCGGTCGCGCGATAAACAAACATCCAGCTGAGCGTCGAGCACGAATCACACGACGTGCGCCACGAGCCCATATACTGGTGCGCCTGCGTCTTGAAGATTGCGAGCGAAAGATGGTGTGCCACCTGTAGCAAAGCGGTCTCGTGCCAGGCAAACAGTGCACGCAGAACTGCACAGCGGATCTTTTCGGTTAGTCCGTGCATAGCCCCACCCGCCCACCCACCCACCCACGCGAGCCAAGTTCAGGTCCACAGCACCGATCACTCGATCAATCACTCGATCAATCACTCGATCAATCAATCAATCACTCGCCAGTCCGCTCGAAAGTCTCATTTGCGCTTTCGCCGTCCGAGACCGCCAGTCGCCAGCCACCCATCATGCCGCCCCCCACGACTTCGGCGAAATCGTCGGCTCTGTTTACGGCCGAAGACGCGACGATCGCGTTCAACGTCTTCTGCTGCGTCTGCGGCATTGGGTCGCTCGGCATGCCGTCCAACTACGCCCGCGCCGGGTGGGTCTACGCCACCATCGCGCTCCTGTTCATGGCGTTCGCCAACATCTACGCGTCGGTGCTGCTGTCGAAGTGCCTTCTCGTCGCGCCGTCGTCCGTGCGCACGTACAGCGACTTGGGCGAGTGGGTCGCCGGTCGCTGGGGCCGCCTCGTCGTGCTCGTGTCGCAAATGGGCGTCTGCCTCCTCATGCCCTGCGCGTTCCTCGTGCTCGGGAGCACCCTGCTCGACGTGCTCTTCCCCGACTGCTTCAGTCAGGCCGTCTGGATCGTCTTCATGGCGCTCACGGTCGTGCCCGTGTCGCTCGTCCCCACGATGAAAGAAAGCACGGGCATGGCCGTCGCCGGCTGCCTCGGCACGATCGTCGCCGACATTGTCGGCATTGCCATTCTCTTCCACGGCATGCGGGGGCACCCGTCGCCCCCCGCGGCCCGCGCGTCGGGCCACCAGGTTGTCACGACGTTCGGCAACCTCTCGCTCGCCTACGCGGCAGCAACAGTCGTGCCCGACCTCCAGCGGCAGCACTCGCAGCCCGAGCGCATGCCGCGCGTCATCATCGTCAGTCTCGGCCTCGCGTCGGCGTTCTTCATCGCGGTCGCCGTCTCGGGCTACGCGCTCGGGGGGTGCCAAATGTCGGGCAATTTGCTCTTCTCGATTGTGAACACAGCGGACCCGTTCGCCGTCACGACGCTCGGGTTCACGGCCGACCGCGGCGCCGTCGTCATGGCCTTCCTCTTCATGCAGATGCACCTGGCCGTGGCCTTCTCGACGCTCCTGCACCCGGCGTTCTACATGTTCGAGCGCATGTTCCTCGGCATGCACGCGCCGGGGGCGGCCGGGAAGAAGGACGAGACGGCGTCGTACCGCGGGGCCTCTACGCCCGCGGAGCTCGAGCAGAGCAGTCGCGCGTCGCGCGCGCCCCATGGCCTCAGTCGCGTGTCGGCGACCAACACAATGGTACCGGAAGAAGACCTGTCCGAGTACAAGGGCCGGGCAAATGTACTGCGGTACATTGTGCTGCGCATTGCAATCATTGCGCTCCTCGTGCTCCTGTCAATCCTACTGCGCAACCACTTTCTCGACCTCGTGGACTTTACGGGCGCGACGGCTATTACCATGTCGAGCCTCGTGGCGCCGCTCGTGTTTTACAATAAGGTCTTTTGGAAAGAGATCCCGTTGTGGGAAAAGGCAATGTGCCTCACAGTCGCGACGATCTGCACGATCGCAGGGTGCTACGTCATGGTCTACTCGGGCAAGAACCTGTTCAACCCGAGCGGCAAAAGTGCGGCGTATCCCTATTGCTCGGCCGAGTTCCAAGACGAGCCGTACTATGTCCGGAACAACACGACGTAACTGGTGGCAGTACCAGCAGCTCTTTGAGTTGAGTGGCAATGGATGGGTTTGTTTTTATATCAGGAAACAGAGGGTTGGCGGGAGGAGGAAGTGGCGGCGGCGGCTGCTGCGACTGCGTTTGTCTCGATGGCGGGCTACGACTGGTCGTGTGTAACAACGGACCGGGAACGTCGATGGGCTGATCCCCTGAACTATCCGTCGAGAGGCTCTCTGGACAGACGGACGCTTTTGTACGCGCGTGGACGGGACACGATTCGAAATGGGGTCTCGAGGAAAAATAGGTCACTCTTGAACCATTTTGCGTGCATGGCACCGCGAGGAGAAATAAGAAAAGAGAGTAAAAAGGTGTGATATTATATGTGCGTGTTTGACCGACGATTGGTGTTTCGATTGCAATAAGAGCTGTCTGTACCCTTCTGTTGATACCAACACACTTCCTTGTTCCCTAGGTGACCGATTGTAAACTTCAAGGTGTAAGATCTCAGATGTCCGTCCATATTTACACAGGCATTTACTTACATACATACGCTACGCAGCAGGTGATGTCGCACATCTCTATCATAAGCACAAAGTGTCGCCGTACAGAAATGTCTGAGCCAGCACGAGAGTTCGTCACAAGTGTCGATAGGAGGGTCATCGCTTGCCTGCGTTCGTTCGTATTCATGCAGCTCGACAGTGAGTCTCGACCGTCACGTAATTGATACGAGAAGGTGATTGCGTGAGCTGCTGGCGAGAAAGCAGGTTTTGCGCGAGAGCTGCGACGCACTTCCACTTTCTAACAAATCTTGACAACTGCTCATGTTATGGTGTACGACTGGTGATGAGAACGTAACGCGATCGAGAAGGCCTTCGTGAAGCGACTTTTGGATCACGATGGCGGTCGAGGGCAAGTTTTTGATAGACTCGACGATGCACTGCTTGACGCCATGGCAAGCGCAGACTAGAAAGAGGCGGACGCAAGGGCGGAACAGCAGTGTACAGACATCATTTAGCGATCGACAGCTCAATCTCAGCGACAACAATACAGATCAGTCCACGCTAGTGGTACGTTCTACTGTGCAATACGTTTGTAGCGCTCTTTTCTTACATTGCAGTGGGCTGCAACCTCAGCACCAAGCTGGTCGAGCTATCCTTCTGAGGCTCTACTCGTACGGTACAAGAGGTTTCTTCCGAGATACTTCACAAAGTTGCTACAGCACTGGTGGAAGCGTCATGGAATGATGTGAAGCACAATTGTTCGAAGGTAATGGGCAAAGTCGCATTTTGGTAAGGTCCTTCCTTCGCGTTTAAACTCTAATGCTAGAAGTTGCACCATCTTAGCTGACTGAATCATGTGCCATCTACGATTACCATCTGCCCACATCTTGTGCACCATGTAACCACAGAACCGTCTCAAGCGCGTATATTGTCATCCATCAAGTTAAGGTGGTGTCAAGTACGTCCATTATTATGATAACTAACGACTGATAAGTGTGACAAGAAGTACGGCCCGGGTATCGGGTCGACAACTAAAGGGCTCCGTAGAGCCAGGGGCGACGGCAACGAGGTCAGAGACCCTCCTACCGAAGCCAACTACGAGTCAATCATGACCGCTGGCGCGACCAAGTAGACTGGGGACATGCGTACCGCCGGAGCGGCAGCACGTACAACGCGGGTATGCTGCCATATAAGGCAACAAACCCCTTTAGGACCGCTTGCGCGGCCCCCGACGTGGAGTGCGAACACCGAAGTGACTGCGTGGCGTGGAGAACGCCAACCCGCCATATATCTCTCCGAGGAGCTCAACCATCTGCGATGGTGGCTCCCTTCAGCCGCTTGCGCGGCCCCCGACGTGGAGTGCGATCACCGAAGTGACTGCGTGGCGTGGAGAACGCCAACCCGCCATATATCTCTCCGAGGAGCTCAACCATCTGCGATGGTGGCTCCCTTCAGCCGCTTGCGCGGCCCCCGACGTGGAGTGCGATCACCGAAGTGACTGCGTGGCGTGGAGAACGCCAACCCGCCATATATCTCTCCGAGGAGCTCAACCATCTGCGATGGTGGCTCCCTTCAGCCGCTTGCGCGGCCCCCGACGTGGAGTGCGATCACCGAAGTGACTGCGTGGCGTGGAGAACGCCAACCCGCCATATATCTCTCCGAGGAGCTCAACCATCTGCGATGGTGGCCCCCTTCAGCCGCTTGCGCGGCCCCCGACGTGGAGTGCGATCACCGAAGTGACTGCGTGGCGTGGAGAACGCCAACCCGCCATATATCTCTCCGAGGAGCTCAACCATCTGCGATGGTGGCTCCCTTCAGCCGCTTGCGCGGCCCCCGACGTGGAGTGCGATCACCGAAGTGACTGCGTGGCGTGGAGAACGCCAACCCGCCATATATCTCTCCGAGGAGCTCAACCATCTGCGATGGTGGCCCCCTTCAGCCGCTTGCGCGGCCCCCGACGTGGAGTGCGATCACCGAAGTGACTGCGTGGCGTGGAGAACGCCAACCCGCCATATATATCTCCGAGGAGCTCAACCATCTGCGATGGTGGCCCCCTTCAGCCGCTCGCGCGGCCCCTTGACGTGGAGTGTGCGCTCGCCGCAGCGGCGACACGTGGCGCGGGGTACGCCTCCAGTCCGTAAAACACCCCTGCTAGGGCCGCTTGCGCGACCCGTCGGTCTCCTACGCCCACTCCCGCGACTGCGAGTGCAGCGTGCTCGCGTCAGATCTTCGACCACGTCGGCTCCCCAAGGGGAGGATTCCCTCCGACTTGACTGCCCCGAAGGGAAAAAGACTGGCTTGAGCTGAACCGTGAAAATTTGGGAATCGTCATCCATCAAGTTAAGGCAGGGCTTCGTGGGAACCTATCTTCAGCTGAAGCGAAGAAGGGACTGCACGTCGTCGCATCCTACATCGGACATAAATGTATATGACAAAAGACCGAGCCGCTAGTAGGGAGAGAGGTCAGATCGTCTATCAGAGCTACTTATCACTCGTAAGATGTGTGTTGTGTGGAAACCACCTCGGTCATTTACCATGACACGAACTTTCTCCTACGACGTTCCTCGTTCTGCTGGCTCAATACTCCGGGCGTCACGGGATACACTGCTAGGAGAGTTTACTTCGTGGGAGTGGGTATCGTGCGCAGCGAACGAGTCGGCGCGAGGGGAGGCACTTCGTGAAGAGCAGGAACTTACGTAGGCACGGGGATGTCGATCTCTGTCGGCATTCCCCGTGCCGCGGGATACCGGGGGATTGCTTCCCTCTCGGTCGCACGCTGCGTTGCCTCCCGTAGCCCGCGCAGCGGAGAAAAGGCCTCCCCCGTTAACCTTGGCCCCACTAAGGGGAATTTCCCGTCCAAGGTAAGGGGGCCAGATGACTGGCTCTTACGAAGTCTCCGCCTCTGTCCGATGTTGCTCGAAGAGTGTAAATTGGGAAGCGACATGCCGTACGAAAAAGGTCACTGCTTCTTAGTCCATCGATTCTGCCCCCTTTTTGTGCTCACCAACGGAGCCTTTTCTGTCAGGCGCTCCTTTTCTATTAATAAAAATCCATCAACCTCACCGATATCCATCAGCCAAAACTGACATGGCTCCACCTGCACACAAGCTGCAACTCGGACCCTCCCCGAGCTTCGATCAACCTGCCTCTTTTTTGTGCCTTCCTCACTGCGAATATTCCTACCAAGAGAGACAGCGACTCGCTTGTCTCCATCGCTCTCCATCGCTCTCACTCTTCAATTTGCCGCCTCACAGCCTCATCCACTTTCACGCCACCCGATCCACTCGCCCGTACTCACGATGCCGACCGCCACCGCCGACTATCAGCTCTTCACGCCCCTCCGACTCGGACCCGACCTCGAGCTCAAGAACCGCGTGGTCTTTGGTCCGCTCACTCGCGGCCGCGCGTCCGCCGACCGCGTGCCGTCAGCGGACAACGAGCTCTACTACGAACAGCGAGCGGGTGCAGGTCTACTCATCACGGAAGCGACGGCCATCTCGGAACAGGGCTACGGGTGGTACCACGCGGCCGCGTGCTACACAGAGGCCCATGTCGCCGGCTGGAAGCGCGTGACGGACCGCGTGCACAAGAAACAGGGGACGATCTTTCTGCAAATGTGGCACATGGGGCGTCAGAGCCACTCGAGTTTCCAGTCGAGCAACGAAATTGTGTCGGCGTCGGCGCTGCGCCTCGAGATGGGCCACACGCGCGACGCCAATTACGTGCAGGCCGACTACGAGACGCCCCGTGCGCTCGAGACCCACGAGCTCGCGGGCGTCGTCGAGTCGTACCGGCGCGGGGCGGAGCTCGCGATGCAAGCAGGTTTTGACGGCGTCGAGATTCACGGGGCGAACGGGTACCTCATTGACCAGTTCCTGCAGTCGTGCACGAACAAGCGCACGGACAAGTACGGCGGCTCGTTTGAGAACCGCGCGCGTCTCTTGCTCGAAATTGTGGAAGCCGTCAAGACTGCTGTGCCGGCGCACCGCATTGGCGTTCGGCTCGCTCCGAACGGCTCGTTTGGCGGCATGGGCAGTGAAGACAACTACGAGATGTTTAAGTACACGATGGAGCAGCTGAGCACGCACAAACTCGCGTACCTCGCGCTCTTGGACGGCCCGGGGCTTGGCTACACGGACAAGTGCCGCCACACTCGTGCGTTTGACGCCAAGACGGCGTTCAAGGGCGTCGTGATGGTGAACAACAACTACACGCGGGACCTCGCGGAAGGTGCGCTTCGCACGGGCGCCGCGGATTTCGTTGGGTTTGGCCGGCTGTACATTACCAACCCGGACTTGGCCGAACGCTTCCAAAACGACTGGCCCGTGGCTCCCGAGGCAGGACGCGAGGTGTACTACAACTCGTCGCTGGGCGGCAAGGGCTACAACGACTATCCATGCTACCAGGCCAGCACGGACAAGAGCAGTCTGTAGACGGGTGGGCAACAACAAGTCGGACTGCAGCAGAACGAGGGATTGCTCGAGGCGCGGCATCGGTCACGTTGGCGAGCAAATGACAGTAAGAACGTTATGAAGCTTTACAAGTGACGTTAACGTCAAGTCATGCATGATATACTTACGTGCTACAGCATTACGGTGCCTGCCGCTTTTGGACAACTGCGAGACTGTCTGCGCCCCGCAACGACCCGAGCTCATAGGGCCCTCTCTCGTGTACACGTTCTCCATTGCATCCACTACGCCACAATGTGACTGCTCTGTCCATTCTTTCCGACTCGACCGCTTGATCGCAGAACCTCCAGCTCCATGTGACGTGGCTCGAGTCCAACTTACCAAAAGCGGTCATCGGTGGCTGCTGCTGCTGCTGCTGCTGCTACTGCTCCATCTCAATGGGAATCAGACAAAACTCTACGTTCGGCTCGTCGCCGTCGTCGTCCGCCACGATAGCCGCGACCAACACCACGTGCGGTCCCACAGCAGTCTTTACCACGGCACTCGTCGACTCTCGCGTCTCCCGCACGTTCTTCATCATGCGCTCGAACGTGGCGGCGTCCGTGCACAAGAACGGCCGGAGCGTCTTTTTCCGCTTGAGCACGAGTTCCGACAGCCCCGTGAACTGGACAAACGCCGCGTTGAACACGACCGTCTTCATGTCCATGTCCAGCACCACGCGCGGCGTCGTGGTCTTCTGGAACGTGTCTGCAATCACGTGGTCGGTCTTGCCCCGTTTCTGCGTCAGCCGCAGCTTCTCTGTCTGCTTCTCGGCCGCGTCGGCTTTGCGCTGCGCGATCGCGAGGTCGCTCCGCAGCGTCTCAATGTACTGCGACGTGTTGTCCAAGATCGACTGCTTGTTCTTCTTCGTCTGCACGCCGGCCTCGTCCAGCAGCTGCTTGAGCTGACTGATGCGGTCATTGAGCTTGAGCATCCGCTGCTTCTCCTTCTGGTTGAGGTCCTCCCGCGACCGCTTGGCACTGGCACTACAACTGCTATTGTTGCTGCTAGTGCTGTTATTGCTGTTAGTGGTGGCGGTAGCAGGAAGATGATGGCTGCTCGGGGCCGGCGGGGTAATCGAGGCGCTGCTGTGATTGGTGGTAAGTGAAGCACTAGGGCTCGGGGTCGGCCGCGCATAGGCGGCCGCGGACGTCGACGGACCCGACAGGCGCAGCGCCGCCGGAGGCGCGTGGAAGTAGGGCACTCCCGGTTCGTACTTGCCGCGCGCGTGCAGCAAGGGGTTGTACGCGCCGGGCATGGCGCGGGGCGGGAACAGACGGGCGCGGCCGTCGCGTGGCACGGCGCTGCGAGGCGACGAGAAGACGGACGACATGAGGAGCACGTGTTTGGTGTCGCAGCTGTTGCATTGGATGAAAAGCTGACCGCGGCGAGATGATTGGGCGAGGGCCACCACGTGGCGACGATGGAAGACCGGTTCGTACCGGTATTTGCTCTCGGTGTCGACCCAATCAAAAAACACAGCATCGTACGAAAAAAGCTTTTTGCGTGGGTGGAAGCTGTTCGATGAAACAGAGCCAATGAGCTCCACCGACGAGTGCAGAGCTGCGAGTTTGGATGCCCAACGCTACTTACGTTCTCGTTCACGTGGAAGCGCTGACGAGTTCGTTTCAAGTCGGCGAGCGACGAGTTACATCCGATCGACGCTTCGGCTGTTGTTTGCTGTTCGAGTGGCTGCTGAGTGAACAGATGCAACTAAACTTCTGGCTGTCGCTACAGCTCCTTTGTGGCTTGCAACGCATGCGGGCTGTGCACACTCGTCGGTTCTTAGTCGCGCTGAAGATATGACGTGACCACGCTATTAGACTGCGTGTACACGAGGCAAAGAAAAATAGTAGTGCCGCCGTAGATGAATGATAGCGGGGTGGCTTCCGCCAACTTCGTTGCCAACTTGACTCAAGTGAGAATACATAGGTTGTACAGCCCGGGTCCGCGCTGTTTCGTGATGCAGATGCCGCGCAAAGGTAGTGCGCGTACAGTAGCCATCTGCCAGTATTTGTTTGACACGGGATTTGGTGCGAACGGAAGGGTGGGCCAGGAAGAACATGTGCAGCCAAGAATGCATGGGTGGGTGTCTCTCATTCAGCAAGACCGTTGCAAGCTCACTGAGCCTGGCGCTTGCTGGGGTGCAACGGTCGTTGCAAACTCGCGACATGACCGTGTTTGATACGAGGAATCGTGTGGTAACCCGTCGGGTTGTAGCGTCAATGATGGTGGACCTTTCTCGCCAGCACTAAGACGGGAGTTCTTGTCGCCCAGCATTTTTAGCGAAGCCGGCGATACCTCGACGAGCAGGGCGGCCAGCAAGGTATACACGTGCTCTCGTCGGCAAGGATCTTGACAATTCCGCACCCACTGTTTCGTCCACTGCTGACAGCCAGATTTGGCATAACGACGAAACCACCAGCCTGTAATGAAGAGAAAGCTGCCTGGACATTTAATCTGCTTGAAGCGGGGCTATGTGATCGTAGTGCATTGAGCATTACTCGCATTTCCACGGCGCCAATGCTGGCGGGACAGTGTTGTTAGTGGCAACGCGGTGCCCAACAAAGAGTGTGGCAAGTGTCTTCGTTGGCGGTTGATCCAGAAGTGATCATGGATATCGAGATAAATAAAACGTTCTATTTACTGTCGTGACAGAAGGGGACGTTGTTGGTAACCTTGGCTTGCCTGTAAGGAAAGCATAGCTGACTGTATCACTTACACATCCCATCGTATCTTTGCTTCGTAAACCACATCGGGGCCTGGAACAGCTTGCAGCGGAAGGTAACCCTTGACAGCAGCGCATACGTTTGGTAGTGCCGTGCCAGCGGCATCAGACGCGTTCGGCAAACAGAGGTAGCCCGAGCTCCGGCGCTAGACTGATCACGATGTCTATCGTAGTTGTTACACTATCTGCTATCTTCAGCATATCCTCACAGTCTGTATCGTAACCGCGATACAAAGGCAAAAGCGAGCGAGTAGGTAATCATGCGAACTCGATCCTTCAACCAAACATGTACATGGCCTCTGGATCTAACACGATATCATTGCCGTCGTTATCGCCAACAGGATTGCTGGACAACACGCACTTGGTCGCTCATTCAGCTCTCCATCAAACGATAAGGTCGTCGGAGTCACCACAAATATACCGAGCAAAGACAAGAGATGTGGGTAAAAATGTCCACATGATGAACTCTCGAAGTGAGCAGCATTTTAGGTGAGGTGAAAAGGTGAGGTATATTTAGGTACGCGTGCGACCTACTATATCCCATCGCAGGGCAGCTAAATTACCGCGGCGACGACTACTTCGTGGACTTGGTAGCACTATTCCCCGGGCAGCAGAGGAACTTCGAGCAGACTCTCGTCTCGAGATGACCAGGTTCCTCGGCGTTAGAGAGGGGCCTTGTGTTACATTTTGTTCGATATGAGAGGCCTTCAGCCAGTGATTGACATCATTACCGAGAAAAGTTGCAGCCTCCCTGACAACAACGAAGTCGGATGGAGTATGCACTTCAACAGAAGATCCTGTGTCCATAGATATATTTGCCAGTCGATCCGCTAATTTGTTGTGTGTGCGATAATGATGTCCCCAGCTGACTATCTCGATATCGTTAGAAATGGTGCATGATTCTCGCAAAAATCGCACCAAGTGTGGCTTGCGTGGAGGTTGTGGAGTTCGTAGTTGTTTAGAGGACTAGCTCATAGTCGCCAATGACATGCAGAGGTGAATAGCCACTTGCTTTCGCTTGTCAAAGGCCGTGAACAAGCCCCCAAATTTCCGCAATGTTGTAAGCGGTAGTGGCGGAACCAAATGCCATGCTCGATGCCCACATGACGCAAGCGGTATACGTCTGAAAGTGTAGCTGGACAATTACGGATCAAGCCCCTCCCGGACCTGGATTCCCGCGGGATCCTCCGTAAAAAAACAGGAGGTACAGCACTTAAGGGCACAATTCGTGAAGCAACATGTGCAGCGACGGCGGTTCATCGAAGCAGAGGAGAGCATCATCCAATGCTGACCTTACGCGTGCAAAGAGTTGCCCGTCTTCCCCCATGTCAGGCTGGTATGTTGACCCACGTAATCGTCTAACTGACTTTAATATGTTGTCCTGGATCTGTCTATGTACACCTCCTGTGACAAAGACATGTCGTCCATGAGGCGGAGGCGCTCGACCCAGATGGCATGAATGGTTTCAGATACTACAAAACGACACAGTTCTCGAGCTGCTGGGAAATCCGCAGCCTAAGCTTTCGACGAATCAGCTCCTGGTTCGAGAGATTGCCGAACGACATCGCAGGCATGTTCGAGGACTTCCACAGAGGTCTAGACCAAACACCAGTCATCCTCTGTGAAAGAGCCGAGCCATCGCCACTGATCAAGTATATAATCGCAATGTCGACGCTCACTAGACCAGGCCATATTATATGGCTTGTAATGGCTGGAACAGCCGCCGCACAATCAGGTACGGGACACGACAGATTTTGGGTGGCCACATTCCAGAGCAGAACGCTCTTACTCTACAGACGAAACAACGTCTGAGTGTTGGTTTGTAACGGGGTTTCACGTCGACTGGTAGTCGACAATAGGTTGTTACACACAAGGTATGGGATCCCTTTTAAAGTAATATTAGAATACAAGTATCAATTGTTGAAGACTGATGTCTGTCAACCATTGATTACGAGATCTTTTAATATTTTTATTTATGACTTTAGTGAGTAGGTTATTTACTTTGTTCTAAGGTGTTAGTTTAGGTTAAAAGGAGAAATAAAATTCAGTTCCCATTTTGATCAACAAAAGACACGTGCCTCTCTGAGGCGTCTTGCGATCGATAAGGAGGTAGCAACGCCTTGTTAAGGCAGATACTCCTCGTGTACTCAGTGCGTTTGTTTCTTTGAATCGTTTGGTCCCCCTGGAACAGGGACCGTAAACTCTTTGAGCTTGTGTGACTTTTTGAGTCGGGTTCTTTGAACCAACTCTTAGCTCTCGGAGCTGTTGACTCTTTGAGTCGGGTTCGTAGAACCAAAGTTGCTCGTAAGAGCGTTAAGTCTTCCTCTGACTTAATGAGCTGTGTAGACCGCTACACTTGGTAGCACTAGTAGTCAATCTACACCTGAGTCGGTAACGACTGATCCTCTGTGAGGATGGAGGAATCCACACCCCTCTCTGAGGCTCAAAAGGTCGCGCTTGAGAAGCTGACCGCGGCCGTAGGCCCTGAGTATGTGGAGTTTCTAGCTGCACAAGGTCCCGATGTGCTCAATGCACGAGTCGAGACCTTCATGCAGTATGAAACGGCCCTTTTGGGGCAGGTTCAAAACCAAGTAGCGTCGGCTATGCCAACACGCTATGTGGCGATGCCAAATGAAGAGGCTAAGCCTCGTCCCCTTCGGGTGGACGTCAAACATTTCTCCGGAAAGGAGGGTGAAAACCTGACCCTCTGGATCCGTGAGATTGATATGGCCATGAGCTCTGGCCTTATCTCATTGGGGTATCAGCGGGTCTCGCTGGCCATCTCCAAGATCGATGGAAGAGCTAGAGAATGGGCTCTGACGTGTGGCACGTCGGTCGACTTGGCGTTTCCCACATGGGGTTCGCTCAAGTTAGACCTATTCCTAGTTTTCTCGCCGCCTAACCAGGCCTATCGCGTGCGCTCACGCTTCTTGTCCACCCGTCAGGGTAAGAATGAGATAACGGACTATGTCCAAGAGTTGAGAACTCTGATGGCTGCTATGCAGTCTGACCCTCTCCCTGAGACAGTCTATGTGACTGTCTTCATGGAAGGTCTTCGTAATGGCGTTGCCAGGACCGAGGTGTTTCGGGTCCATCCCTCTACTTTTGAGGAGGCTGTTAGCATCGCTCAAAATGCTGGGCACAACTTCAAGTCGGCCAGACTTGGTTGGAATGGGTACAACCCAAGCTTCGAGAGGGCAAACTTTGCGAGCACCTCGGCTTATGGAAGCCAGAACCGATGTATCTCAGCCATGCTGAAGATTAAGGTGAATATGAGCTTCATGTTGCCGAGAAACGACGGGAAGGGAAACGTTGTTATACGTTCGGAAGCACCAAACATCTACGTCCCACTTGTCCTTTGCGTAAGCAGCGACTGACCCTATTGGTCGCAACCCCAGCCCCAAACAAGAAATCTGGTATGGCACGGGGTAATGTCGACACACAGTAAGCGCGGGGTGCCCTACTGGGGTAGAACTGAATTCTTTTGCTTCTCTACGAGGTAGATTGGAACAGGGCTTATCCCCACCGAGCTCTGTGCCAGCCAGCACAGAGCGTGGATACAAGCCTGGCTTGTTAGTCGCCGAGGCGAAAGTTCGAGGCTTTGA